AAAAAAAAGGATGATGTGAGCTTGGCTGGTAGCTCCTGATCTCCTCTCTCACCTAGGCTCTGGATGGCTTCGTGCTGGTGGTGACCTCAGAAGGACTGATATTTTACTCCTCCCACACCATTCAGGACTATCTGGGCTTTCACCAGGTTGGTGGGACACCTCTTGGCTCTCCGTGGAGGCTTTGCAGAGTGGGTGGACAACAGCCCCAGGGTCCCTGCTAGGAGGAAGCCCTGGAGGGATCACAGGGTCTTGAGGAGGGGGCTGCTTGGGGCTTTTCCTTGGGTCTTGTGGATGACCCCATGGTGCCAGATGTGGTCACTGGGAGGGGTCAAAGCAACTCATAGAGTCCTCCAGTCATTGTGGTTGGGGGTTGCTCCCCCACATCTGGCTTTCCCCAACATCTGGGGCAGATGAGGACTGGGCAGAGGGAGGAAGTTGGGTTTTTTTGAGAGAGAGCAGGTGCCTTTTTCTCCTGGGAGCAGTGTAGGGGTGAGGAACTGCTGCTGGTTTCTTCCCAAACCCTTGTTTTCATAACTCAACAGCAGGATGTTGAAGGACACCACGTTATGGGGAGAAGCATGTTGGAGTGGAGCTGTAGCACTGGTGCTGGTGGCTCTTTCAGAGGGCAAAATAACTCTGCCCCAACATGAGCAAGGGATCCTTAGAGCCAGATGCTCTTCCCACCTTCCATCTCTGGTGGAAAGTGTCCAACCAACCTCATTCCTCCAGGAAAACTAGGTGGGATATGGCCAACTGGAGCTACAACAGCCTCCTTCCAGTTGGGGTGTGAAGACTGGTGGCTGTCCCCAAGCTGTAGAGCTCAGGGGGTTGTATTTTGTCTCCAGACAGATGTCCTACACCAGAACATCTTCCAGCTGATCCACACTGAGGACCAGCAGGAGTTCAGACGCAACCTCCACTGGGCCCTGGACCCACCCCACGTTCCTCAGGGTGATCCTTCTCCAGAAGGTAAAGCCTGAGAACCCAGACAGCCCTAGAAACTGGGAACCCATCTCCAGGCCACTGCTTCTGTGGGGCTCACCAATTTGTGGCTCAAAGCCACGGGTTCCCCCAGAAGCTCGTGGCTTTTCGTGGGTCTCCGTGGCTGTGCCCTGCCAATGGCCACAGTTCTCAGTGCTGGGGACCTCCAGCTCTTGCTGGGGACTCTCTGCTTGCTCCTTTCTTAACCCTTTTCTCCCACAGAGGGGAGAAGTCTCAGTTCTTCTGCTGTCACCTACAAACCACACCAGTTGCCCCCAACAAACTCCTCCTTCCTGGAGAGAAGCTTCGTCTGCCGCTTTCGTTGCCTCCTGGATCACTCCTCTGGCTTCCTGGTGAGTACAGACCCACAGCAGGAAGGGGTGCAGGTTCACCCCCAAAAACCTCCAGGCCACTGCTGTGCAAGGCCTTTGACACAGTAAACAACAACCCCACCCCCCTGCTCCTTTCTGCCCCCTGCAGCACCTGCCAGTCTCAAGGAGGAGAGAGATCTTCTGGTTTGTCATCAGGTTGCTCTGCACCTACAACCTCTCCCTGGGGGTTTGGTTCCTCTCCTCTCAGAGGGGCTGAATTGTGAAGGAAAGTTCTTTTTCTCCACACTTTTTCCTAGGTTTTTGTGTTCAAAGGATGGCTCAAAACCGAGTGGGTGGTGTTCATCCTGGCTGCTCTCTTTGTTGGTGGGGTTCTTACCTTCATCACCCTACATCTAGTGCCCTTGTTTCTCCCACTCCACTCATTTTAGTCTGGAAACTGAGCACGAAGAGTCTTGATCATCCCTTCTGTAGAAGCAATCACAGAATCATGGAGAACTTTGGGTGGGAAGGGACCTTTTAAGGCCATTCTGGTCCAACTCCCCCTTGCAAGGAGCAGGGACAACTAGAGCAGGGTGCTCAGAGCTCCATCCAACCTCCCCTGGGATGATTCCAGGGATGGGGCAGCGACCACCTCTCTGGGCAACTTGGGGTCTCCCCACCCTCAGTGGTCCAAAATTTCTTCCTTTGATCCAGCCTCAATCTCCCTCTTTGAGCTTCAAACCATCTCCCCTTCTCCTGTCCCAACAGACCCTGTTGCAAAGTCTCTCCCCAAACCAAACTGAACCTTCCCTCTCTTCCCAGGCTTTAAACCTCCAAGGCAGGCTGAAGTTGCTCCAGGGGCAGAACAGAAGATCTGAGGAGGGGTCTTCTCTGCCCCCCCAGCTCGCCCTCTTTGCCATCTCCACCCCTTTGCAGCCCCCCTCCATCCTACAGATCCGAACCAAGAACTTGATCTTCAGGACCAAGCACAAGCTGGACTTCACCCCTTTGGCCTGTGATGCCAAGTAAGCAGCAGAGGGCTGGGAGAGGGGGTGGGTGGTGCCCAGAGCTTCCCAGCCCCTCACCTGGGTGGTGACAGTGGCACTGAGGGCACCCCTCAGCAAGTTTGTTGAGGACACCGAGCTGTGTGGTGGGGC